ATGCCGCCCGCGCCGCCGCCCGTCATGAGGCGCGTCTTGACGACGTCGACGGGCGTCATGATGACGGCCGCGGTCGTGCCGGCGAGCGCGCCGAGCGCGAGCTTCTCGCGATTGCCGGGCGCGCGGCCGGCGATCGACTCGTAGTATTTTTTCGCCTGCCCGAAGAACATGAACGAGAGCGCGTTCCACGGCACGTCGCGCGAGATGGTCGCGAAATAGCCGCGGTAGAGGCCCCGGGGACCCTCGGTCCTCATGAGCGTCCTGACGCCCGCGACGACGTTCGGGTAGACGTCGGCCTGCACGCGCTGCTTGAGGACCTCCTTCGGGACGAGGACCAGCGACGCGCCGAGCGCGCCGAAGGCGCCGCAGGACATCTCGGGCAGCGCGCCCGTCATGTGTCGCCGCGCGAAGCGCTCCTTGGCCCACTCGTAGCACGTGAACTGCAACGCGCCGGCGGGGATGGCGAGCGCGAACTGCGGCGTGATGCCCTTGAGGAACGTCCGCGGCGCGAGGGCCGACGTGATGGATTTGGCCTGCAGCCGCGTGCGCATCACGTCGATCGGGTGGAGGCAGGTCTGCGCGACCGCGCGCGCGCCCGAGCCGGCGGCCATCCGGTCCGTAAAGGTCATCTGCGACCGCCACGACTTGCCGTCGACCGCGACGACGGCTCTGCTCGCGCGAGAGGACGCCACGCGCGCGTCCGCCGCCGCGAACGCGAGCGCCGCGAGCACCACGAGCCTTTGAGCCATTGGGGACGTTGCCGTCGAGCTTGGAGTGCTGGGCCGCGACGATGCCGTCGAGCTTGGAGTGCTTGCCCGCGACGATGCCGTCGGGCTTGGAGTGCTTGCCCGCGACGATGCCGTCGGGCTTGGAGTGCTCGCCCGCGACGATGCCGTCGAGCTTGGAGTGCTCGCCCGCGACGATGCCGTCGAGCTTGGAGTGCTCGCGCGCAACGATGCCGTCGAGCTTGGTGTGCTCGCCCGCAACGATGCCGTCGAGCGTGGCCGCTCGGCGACGACGGCACGGTGAGAACAGATGAACGTCAGGGCAGCGCAAGTCGCCGAAGTCCAGTGGCAGCTCCTGTACGCCTCCGCCCTAGTCGTGTGAGCTTATCCAGGGGGGTTCGTGGGGTACCTTGGCGAGCCGAGCCAGGTGGCGGNC